AGAATGTAACAAGGTAACAATAATAATCTGCTAGATGCTACATTTTTAGGCCTTACTAGTCTGTCAGTAAACCTGAATCTGAAACAGAATCTATTAATTGTTCTGTTCAATGACTTCCCCTTAGATGTAGACAACCACATGACTGTCATTATCTCCTTTCACTTCTGTTGACCACTAGTGGCACTGCTTCATTTCTAATTAAATGAGTGAGTGTATATAAGAAATGATTGAAGTTTAACCAAATTAATAATGGACACAGTTGCCAAGTTTAAGAAAATTAGAAGATGTAGACAAAGTGTGTCAATATTATAAATTCATAACCATAAATCTTGACTGGAGATATACTACCTAAGTAAGCAAGTAGCACTTGTGGCCAGGAACACATCTTAATCAAGCTTAAGCATATGGCCTTTTTCAACTGTTTGCCTTGCCAGTAGCTAATCTTGTCTTTATCATTTCAATGCTCATTAAAGAAATCATCTCTTGTCCCAGAACAGTGCCCATATAGACACATCGCTGAAGTCCTTTACTTAGTGTCCTCTTTCCCCATAAAATAGTAAATGCTGATGGAGAATTTTCTATGAGATTTTTTCCACTCTGGATTTTACTTTTGCCTTTGTTTCAAATTAGTTTGAATTTATGAACAGCAACACCACACAACACCTGCCACAACACGCTACAATTTATTTCCTATGAGTGAAGTGGAATAACTGGGAAAAGATATAATACATTAGATTGAATTAATGAAGGATACAAGTTCACACTTTTCAAGATATAACAGTTGTGATGGGTACATCCCTTTGCACATTAACAAGAGTGCCCAGAGCCTTTTGTGTTACTTTGTCATTTTAGCATGAGTACTTCTTTTAAAAATATATAACATTAATTTTAATGGGAGGAAAAGAGAGAGGATTTAATACACTTTAAGACAGAAAAACTTAAGTGACAAATTAAATCACCAAAAATACTGGGAGATTCAGAAATCTCAGAATATAATCTTGTAAACAACTTTCTGTTCCTTGCATACATACACAATCCCAACCAAATAGTATGAATACAGTAAGCTATAACTATTATAATTGATGACGTTGTTGAGTAGTTAGTAACCTGTCTCACATGCTTATATTTTGAACCTTCAAAGTTGAACAATTTTTTTTTTTTTTTCTGAATTGGAGGCAAAAATATCCTGCTATAGGAAGACTGCATACTGAATGACAATCTGCATAAAAGAAACAGTACAAAAATAACCACAAAAGGAAAGGGGCAGAAAACAAACTGCTGCCTTCAGAATCATCTAGCCACTCTACCATTCCCAGAATATATCATACTACGTGAGCCCTTGTCCAACTTCTCTTGCACATTCTCTTCAAATGCTTGCTAATGAACATCTCTGAAAATAAGGTCTTTTCCTTAAATGTAAGCTCCTAGCTTTTTAAGTGTTCCTCTAACTACAGGGAACTAGCTAAATGTAGCCTCATTAAATCAAATTTATGGTAATGCCATCCAAATGAAATAGCAGTCGTCACTACTCACAATCATTCAGCTAAATGATTTCCCAGGGAGATGTCCCAAAATAATGCAGCTGTGACTGTTTAACATGTACCAGAAAGAAAACTACATGGTACTTTTACACTTCACAAGAAAAAAAAACAAACCACAACACCAAACACCACCAATATGTTCTACACATTTTTTTTTTTTTTGGTATGGAGTTGGGTGGGTAATGGTTGTTGAATTTTTTATTTTATTTTTTAATACAGTTACATTATGAATAGAGTTGTATATACATGTAATTTCAGACCATGGACTTCTTTACATCACATACCCACAGTCAGTCCTGTACTCTTCAAAATCCTGAAACCCACACTAGCAAATAAGTCAACTTGACTTCCAAATGTGTAGTCACAGACATATTCCAGTCGTGGATGATTACTTCCAATAACCATTCAAGACAAAAGGTATTTTAATCTTTATAAGGGCTCCAAAAGCTTATGTCTGGCTTACAAGCATACATGCAACAGACTAGATCCTTGGTTTTTTTCCAGACAGAGAATGAGAATAAAGTAAAAGAGAGATAGTAGTGATTGTATATGTCAGTGACCCATCTCAAAAACTGTAACTATTCAGAAGAAAGAACGGAAGAGATGGTTAGGTTTCCACCCTAACTGTGGGAAATGCTGCACACACTGAGAATTACCCTGCCCTGGGGTTTGAATCTTTTATATGAATGACGATAATAGTAACCACCTGGAGATAAATGATCCTCCATAAACATATGTAAGCACTAAACCATCCTAGCCACAGTTTTCTGCTACAGTGTAATTTTTTTTTTTTTTTTTTTTTTTTTTTTTTGGGGGGGGTCTTTCAGCATACAACCTTTAAAGAAACAAATTAGTCATGGGATAAGGGACAAAGTGCAGTAAAAGATCAAAATCAGATTATAAAAAGGAGAGAGAACTGGCCTCTAGTTATCTTAGAGGGACTAATACTTTATGCATGAAAGATGGAAGAACTGGTAGAGGACAAAATCGTTAAATTAAATGTCTAAGAAATTTTAAATCAAGTCTAGAGAAAATTGTAATGAATTTCAGAAGAAACTAACCACAGTATACATGACTCATGAAAGTGAAAGTTTGTATTGACAACTAAATTTTAAATAAGCATATTGGAAAAAAAAAAACATCAAGTTTCAAAATTCAGCTGAATTAAAAATCTTGGCCATCATCTTCAATAGCTCCATAGTGACATGAATTCAAGCGAGACGTATTATTAGCTAAGTAATACCTTGGACTGCATAAAAAGCAAGGTAAGAAAAAAACATATTTTGGTGCTATTCTATAAATCAATAGTTTACTGTCACTTGTCAACTAGTGGATGCTCACTTCTAATAGTCCAGTCAAGAATTAGTGTTAAGAGAAAACATCAGGAACAAAACTGAAATGTATTACAAATACGCATACATGAAGAATGATTGAAAGTTTTAGGTATGCTTAGCCTGAAGAGAGATTAATAGAAAGAAACATTGCAAGCATGTTTTGTGTTTTGCATGAAATAACAGTTTAGCAAGAGAAGGCTCATTGCATATTTCTATTTCACTTTTTAGTACAATAAAAAATGAGCATCCAATACTGCTAAAATGTTTCAACTGACCTAAAACACATATAGAATAAACAGGGTACTATTATTCATGGGATGAACCCATTATTAATTTCATATATTAAATGCATAAATATGAATAAATATTCTGTTCAGTGACAAAAAAATTATTATTGATTCCTTTTTCAACAAATTCATTAATAAAACAGAAACAAAAATGTCTTGTAAAATGGAAATTGAGCCAAGTATGTTAGACCTAATTCTAATTCTGAACCTAATGCCACAATTTTTTGTAAATCACCTCTTCATGCTCATCAACAGGTTTCCTTCTCAAGATAATAAGGATTAAGTTAGTTACCTTTCTTAGAAATGCCTGAGGATATAATACACTTTCTGAAAGGCTTTAACTAGTTGTGCTACAAATATGAAATATTAGGATTCTATATATGTTGTGACTTGGCACTGGTTTAAATCTTAACGTTGTTTCTACTTTTTCTTTTTTTTAAATGAGAATAAATTACCTCTATGGAGAGAGGACAGCCCTTTATCACAGCCTATACATGTCTAAATAAATTTTAAGAGCAGCTAATTGGGCTCCCAGTTCTTCACTCAGTAAGCAAATTTATTTCAAATTCACTACAAACAATGTAAGCATTTATTAAATGCTTCAATTTGAGCTTCTATTCTCTTGAACTCCTTTTATTTTTGTTATTTGCTGTACATACTTGGAGGTCCTGGTCTTGAACTCAAGCCCTGAACACTGTCAAACACAGCAGGAAGACAATCACTCCCCAGAAACATATGCATGCATAGATAAGACAACAAATGGATATGGTGAAAGGAGAGAAAAAGGTAGAGAAAAGCCGTATTTATCAGCACAAACAGTAGTTACAGTACACCATTGCCAAACAGTGGCATCGAAAATGAAAGAATGAGGAACTGCTCTCAAGAAGGAGTCAAAGAAAGACAATAAAGTGATGTGTCCTGCATAATTTATGAGGTGGTTTTTCCCACAGAGGATGTCTTTTTTATTTAACAAGCAGCAAATACATAGCTTGGTTACAGATGAGAACTGAATTGAACAGCTGAACTGTGAAATGTGAAATAATGAAAATCTGAGAAACAAATTCAGATATTTACACAGAGAAGAGATCAGCCATTAGGGATGACCATACAGAACAGAGCAGTGAGGTGCACACATGCAAGGAAAAACAAACCAAGTACAAATAAAACAGACTACATCAAGTAACTTTTTGATCACTATATAAATAGCTGCATGCATTCATACATGAATATAAGTCCCAAAACCTTCAGATCAAGTTTTGTTTAAATTTTATAGACACACAAACGCACATATATTAAAAAGGCTTTATGCACTCACAAATATGAGCATCTATGAGATGTCTCACATCTGTTGAAACAGTGTATGACTGGACAATACAAGCACTTCAACTTTGTGTACTCATATTTATAAAAATGGGCTGCTTGTTCAGAAATTTCATATAAGGACTTTCATTTTTAACACTGTGCAAACATATATATGCATTCTGATAATCTAAAGAATCAAAAACAGAAACCAGAAACAACTTTTATAATAAAACAAAATAATCTGAACAGGTAAGTACAGCCCAGTGAAAACCAGATCCAAAAAACCCCACAAATAAACGAAAAACCCAAAACAACAACAATGAAACCAAAAAATCCAAATATTTTCTTGAAATACTATAATTCCATATACATATAAAATAATGTTTGAAACAAATGTTCTTATTTCTTTTGTATGTAATCCATTCATATACAAACATTCACTTAAAACTGTCAGACTATTCTGTTACAAGGGTGTAGCTAAGTGCTATATATATTAAAAAATGTTTACCTTGATTTAAAAAATTTTAGTGTCTTACCTGTAGATAAGTTATTCTCCTCTGTACCAAATCTGTTAGATCTTTGGCCTCTTTTTCTCGCCAATCTCCTGCTCCATCTGTTTGACTGAGGTAGTACAAATCGGTCATTATTGACCTGTAAACAACAGTGGAAAACAATCTCAAATAAATGGGAAACAACCTTCACATTACTAAATTGGAAGATTAGATGAAATCAAAGACAAATTAAACAGTTATTTCAATTATAGCCTCAAAAACAATGTCTTCATGCGACCTCCTACCCCACAATCTAAACAGCAGCCAAGACTGCCTGTGCTCTCCATTTAACGTATGTTCCATACCCTTGAGTAATTATAGTAATAAATAGGAGATGGGATAGAAAAACTTTTAGGCCTGATATAAAGCATTTGTTTCTGGTATGGCTGAAAGAAACTAAAAAGAAAGAAAAGTTCCATGCAAGATACATTATCCATTTGCCCCAGCTGAAAGTGCAGTAGTGATTCCTACAGTAGCTTCTGTTATAATGCTTTGTTACTTTGCCTGCAACAAGCATCTTACTGTGCTTGTATAGAATATTACAAATGTCTTTAGCACAGGTATAACAGTAATTCTTCTATTTTTGTTAGTGAAAACAAACTACATAATATTAGTACGAGGTTTAGTAAACAGTATTTTCTATGGCATGCAGCTCCTTCTGACTCTGGAAGAAGGTAAATGTCCTGCCTGCTTAGAATGACTGCATGCTACTAATACTCAAATGAAAAAAAACAAAACCACTAAACAAAAAACCCAACCAAAAATCAAAACCAGACTCATGGTCCTAGTATAAATCTAGACTACAAAAGGTGAACTTTGAGGAACTATCAAATATTAAATTGAGGTTCTCCAATATACTAGAGATCCTCTTCTTAGGGTTACCACATTTTGGTGGCCAAATAAGAGAATAAAGAACTATTTGTCATTAGACAAAAAATGGTGTATGACATTTATTTCCTAAGATCAGACACGAATTTTGTGAAAAACAGCCCAAACAGTAACACCCGGGAAAAGGTTTTTTAGATCTGTGGTTTCTGGGAGGAAATACAAAACTAGAGGCAAACTATTCAAAATATTTGTAAAAACATTAATGGCAATTCTACAAGTAACAGTTAGCCCAATTCAGAACCAATAATTCCAGATATGGCTTTACAGCCTGAGAATATTTAAAGTTGCTAAAGCTGATAAACTCTTCTTCATAAGTTTTAATTTTGAACCACTGTTCTTAATTCTTTCATCTGAACTTCAGATCCTGCAATTTATTGCCTGAAATTCCTTATAAGCCACAAGTTTGATCACTAGGAAGAGATGCAACAGAACAAAGGTGAAGAAATTTGGGAGGTGACAAAAAAAAGAGTGTGAGGTGAAGACAAGCATATTTCCAAACAACCTTTGAAGCGGTCTTGTCGGTAAAGTAATACAAGACACTCTTGTTGGCAGCAGTACTGGAACCATAGACCTAGCTAGCTAAGGGTATCCTTTGTAAATAAGTTTAGCAAATGAGAGAGGAGCAGACAATGTATCTCTGTTAGGTAACTACTTCCACTGACACAATATTTAAGTGGTAAATGATAAGAGGTAAGTCAAATTGGGACAGAGCTATATTTATCAGCAGAGTTATCAGACAGCCTTCTCTCGTTAGTAACTGGATTTATGGATCTATATCTTTCCATTCTCATACATTCATTCTGGTTTTCATACTCACGTTTTTATACAAGTTAACAGTGATACCGACTTACTGTATCATCTACTGTTGCTGTATCAAATATTGCACTCAGATTGTTCAGCAGCAGTAATATACACCTCCTGTCAATCAGCTGGAAGTACCATATCTACATCCTAATCTCAAACTATATAAATCGGATTTTCTTTTACAAGGTAACTGAGCTTGAAACACCCTACTCTACTTTGTACAACAAATAAACAATTTTAACTATCATCAGATAACTAGTTTCAACTCACTAACTATTAATGACACATAATACTCAAGTAAAACGCAAACACAATTTAGGGACAATTAGAACAGAATCGATGATGCAGTACATCTAATACAATCGATTATATACAAATAACTGAACAGATGAAAGAATTCAACAAGACAATTCTTAAGTAAATGAAAAAAAAAAAAAAAACCAAAAAAACCAAACAACCATGGTATGCATTCTACCATGGGGTTCATGTCATCTTTAAGTACAGAGAGATGTGAAGGTAAGGCTGTCAGAAACAATCTTGCAAGTTGGGCTTAATGAATTAATAGTCATTGGTGTAGGAAGGAAAGGGATAAGAAAATAATTCATTCAGGGAAGCAAGGACATCAAAACCTTCTGGCATGAAACACGCAATATTATTCAAGATTCCACTGTGGCAACTGCCTGATGTGATCCTGGCTACATAAACAGAGCAGTAATGTGTACACTAATGATTATCAGTAATCAGACTACTTGCTCCAGTTTCGGCACAGATAGTTTAAAAGGTAAATCGAGAATCAATGACCTGAAGTCACAGAAACTGAAATGAAAATAACTTCTCTGGAGAACAAATATTTCTGAGTGGAGGTAACTATTGGAACAAATTGTCCAGGGAAGTGGCAGCTTCTCTGTCAGTTGACTGTTTAACTGAAGATCTCAAGTCTTTTGGAAAATTTTGCTTCAGTCAAGCACTACTTTTATTTCAGTTAAACATACATAATTGCACTCAGCAGAGACATAATTGGACGAAATGTAATGGCTTATTTTATATAGATAATAACTCCTGATAATTCAATAGTCTCTTCTTACTTTAAACTCCATCAATCTGCGACAAACTGGGTTTTGGAATTGTGGAATATTAAACAACAAAACTTAATGGACTATACTATTTGCCCACATTAATAATCAAAATAATATTCTTTTAAAACTATGTTTTAAATAGTGTTTACATTATTTCCAAAGAATTGAAAATTCTTACTATGTTTTCCTTTTACTATAGTGCTATTTTTGAATATTCGTGCTTTACTACTGATGTTCACACATGCATATCTCAGCTTTTTTGGAAAAGAGATACTTGTTTAAGGTGGTATATTTAGTTAATTCAACTATTTTCTTATGAATGTTTATTAATGAGACACAAATTGCCATTGCAATCCTGTTGGGAACAAAGCTATAAATGTAATAGGCTTACAGGACAGATTTTACTGAATTTTTAACACTTCCTGAATTAATTGCTTTGAGCATGAACAAAACTCATACAGAACATTTTAGTGTAATACAAAAGGTAATTCAACAACAGGGAGGCCTGAAGATACACAACAACTGAAAATATAAATCCAAAATATCTTTGCAGCACATAATAATGATGGTGTAAAGGTCATTTCTATCTGAAATATTCTAATTACAAAAAAAGTGACTTTTCAGAATGACAATTAGTCCTGAAATTAAGATATTACCTAATTTTAAAGTAATTCCAATTATATAATATCCCAGTGATCAATGTAACTTATATTCCAGTATTGGTAAAAGGCACAATCAGATACTTAAATATTTTTAAGGGTTTTTAATGGTTATATGTGCACATATGCACATATATAGACAGATGCAACTGAAATACAACAACTGGCACCCATGACCCAGGTCTTCTGGTAAAATAAATTAAAATATATCAAGTTAAAAGGTTATACTCTAGGCTGTAGTGACACACGCCAGATATATACTTGATGTCCCATAAAATACAAGTACTGATTTTAAGATCATGCTTCAGACATGGTATTTTAGGGCACATAGCAATTTATCCTATGAGATTTTTAAGCAGTATATCGGTAGTTTACTTAAATCAATCCATAATCCTTACAACATATATGCAGAGTCAACTAATATAAGTACCTTTCCTCATGACCCAAATCAGACAGAAATTCATCAATGCGTGTCTGCAGTTCGCTTCCTTCTAGGTTTTTCAACTTCTTCAGTTCACTCTGGAGGAAAAACCAAAGTTCCTTAGCCCCATTTTCAATTCTCCTCCTCAATATTTCATGGTCTTTTCCAAGGCCTCCTATTAAAAACAAAAACAAAAACAAACAAACAAAAAAAAAGCAGCATAAAAAAGCATCAGCACTTCTAGCTGAATTATTTCTTTAAAAAGCAATACACTTGTGATACGGAATACCAAAACTTGTTTTAGAAGTAAATCAAACTTATCTACCAACCATCTCCTGTCCGCTTCTTATAGTTTTCTATCTGTTCTTTGGCCTTTAAAAGTTGCTCTTCTAAAGCGTGTACCTTTCCTGCAGCTGGTCCCTGATCAATGGGACCATCTGGTATCCTAGGATATAGAAAATAAAGAAATTATGTTATTTATAAATATAATTCTTATTTGATAAATTATCTACATTAACTCAGCTCCCCTCTCATTTTTGTTCCACACTGTTTGCTGATAAATCTTCTTGGAATTTTCTTAAAATCAGAAGAAATTAAAGATTTCAAAAATTCAATCCATAGGAGAAAAACAGTGCGTAACGCAGCTGCAGCACACAGATTCAACCTGGTGTTAAACTGTGCTGTTTACAGGACTTCCACTCCCTGACAAGACCAATCCTAGGCTCTACTTGTGAAAATAGTATTTGAAGCAGCTTAGCGGAGACCATTTATTGGACTGACTGGCACACAAGCAAAGCCTTATCAAGGGATGTGCCTTCACAAGACTCAAGTTCTGGCTACTTTTATATTCACACATGAAATACATTCTGGTCTTGAATGCTAGTCATACATTCTTAGAGGACCAGAGAACCAGCACTGGAACTCCACTTTTAAGTTAAGTCTTCCTATATTTGGCACAAGATAATTTCCATGTATTTTCTGGACTCAGAATAAGAACCTAGCTTCTTAAATGTACCATAATGATATTTTTTTATGACAACTCTGGTATTTTAAACTGCTGGTCACCTAAAACAACACCAGCAACTGTAACATTCATCTGTGAAATCTCTGGCATGGAAGCCCAGGAGAAGTATGGAAATATGCATCCTGAAATCTGTGAGCCATAGATCAGCCTTGAGGGTATTACTGACGTTTGGTCATCATCTTCACTTGAATCCACATATTATTAATGTATAGAAATTAGATGCTATCTTCTATTTGCCTCAAAAATTAAAAATTAATGAAGGGAAAATAAAAACCCCTCTCATCTCTAGAGAAATGACACTTCTGGTGGATCCAAGGGTTAAAATTCATTCCACCTTTTATGAGACTTTTGTAAGGGTTGACCCTGAAAAGGAAAAGAGAAAGCAGATGCGTAATGAAAAGTCTTGAGAACTGTAAAGAATGCAGAATTCTTGCAGAACATGAAGATGGTTCTTCATTCATAATGGCACATAAGCATAAAAAGAAAGTGATATTCTCTCCACACACACATACACAGAGTTTCAAGAACCACATGGGAAGACCCCTCACCTCTAGCATAGAGAATATAGTGGTTAGAGGGAGTATCTTCACCCTAAACCAGAAATGACAGCATTCTAAAGATCCTAACAAGATGGAATTAACTGTAATGTCTCTCAGATCTGTATAAATACCAATAAATTTTAGGAACTGATGAAAAGTCCACTTTCACTGGAACGTTTGAAGGAATAAATACCTAATGTGAGCATCAGAAGGGTACATCACATGCAGCATAGCATTTAAGGCCCTTTTTTTAGAAGGGGGTGGAAGAGGTAGACTGACAGAAATTTAGTAAAAAACTCTGCACTCTAACAGCCCCCTATTGAAAGCAAATTAGGGATAATTAAATTATTGCAAAGTATTTATTTGTCTTTTAAAGCTACCATGGTAAATAAAAAGGAATTATCAATAACTCCTCATATATTTGCTCTTTTATGCACTGAGGGAACAAGTATGACAGAACTGAGGAAAATATTCTAACCTTAAACGCGTATTCCCTAAATATACTCCCTCTGTAAGAACAATGTGTTTATGAATTTGTTTCTACAACAAATGTACAGTACGGTATCATACTGAGATACAGTACGGTATTGCCATGTACAAAACAACCAACCTTTAAAAAGCATATTGAAGCACATTTAAGCTCTTGAACTAGTTTAAAACCACAAAGTTGAAATATATTTGTGATCTGCCAACTTGGTATCACAATTTGGACTGTGACAGGATAATTAACCACAAAATTACCAGGAAAAATGGAATGGCTTATATTGCATAAGTCACATTCCTAAAGGCAGAATTAGTGAAGAACAATAAAGTAAAAGGATACAAAATCATTACATAAGAAATCTTCAGACAGCACAAACATCCTCTGAACGTAAGGAATTACAGAATCCTATGGAAGGATGGTTGTGGATGATATGAAAGAAGCACAGTAATTCTGACCATAATCTGATATAATTAAGATTTTTTAAAAGGGAAGTACATGTCATTTAACATTCAACCTGCTTTGGCAAACTGCAATAAAAACGTTTACTAAGGTTGTTAGATGGAAGGAGTTAGGTTGGGGGTGGAGGGCATTCTCCTAAACTAGTTGTTTGGACTTTCAAGAGTTACATCATTTTAGAATGAAACTAAAATAACTTATTCTTTTTGTAGTTTTTTTCTCTACATCTGTTACCTCATCAGACTTGGAATTGCTGTCTTCCTCACTTTCATCCAGTCTCAAAATTAAGGAAAAGGTTCTTCTCTGCAACCAGCACAGCTTGCTTGTTACTGCCCTCTACAAGTACATCAACCGAGTTGGAGATAAGGCAACATTTGAGGGAAAAGTGTTTGAATTAAAATCCTTATCTATACTCATGGCATCATGTATGTAGATAATTTCTAGTGCAGAATATCCTAGGAATAATGCATACTTATGAATAAAAATTCCTGTTGAAAAACATATACATAAGTTTTCATAATCAAAGTCCTGACAACTGACTTGCTCCTTAAAATTTGAGAGGTGAGTTTAAAGTAAATTCATCTAAACAATGGTGATTCTAATCAACAATAAAAGCACATGTCATTAAGCATCTAGCACAGAATATCCTTCACTTAACGCTATAACACCACTGTAAATGAAGTTGTAAATACAAAATAAACAAAATTATAATCTACATAACATGTGCAGCCATGAAAATACAGAAAATAGTGGGTTTGTTTTAATGATTTCTCTCAATACTTACATGGTGAGATTTTTGCATGCTGTTTACTACCATTTTATAGTAAATATGGATATCTTTTTCTTAATGAACTCATATAAAAAAAGATATTCTTGCATAACTTTAAATATCAAAAAGATTATATTGTAGAAATAACCCTCTCTTGCTTAGTAATCCAGCTACACTTATAAAGACAGAAAAAAGAATTCTGTGTACATCATCCATATCACTTTCTCATCAACCTCAGTTAACAGAGGGGCAACGGCAAAGTAGTGGTCACTAACCTGAATCTCTAAAGGCAAAAAAAACCACTCAAAACTTAATTGCAGTGACATTCAATTTAGCTGAAAGGACTGTCACACACTGTGTAAAATAATGGTAAAAAAAATGAAAACAAAAATAAATTATAAAAATTCTAACCTTTTCCTATTTACAAGGTATTTAAAAGGTTACAATAATTTATCAGGAAAAGGAAAAAAATGAAAGATTTCATAAGTTCACACTCAAATATTTTCTCATTCTTTCATTTATAACTTTTTGAGTTCTTTGTATGGACCTGAAAGCTTTATAACTAACTAAAGCCACATGACTGACATTTTTCACACACACACACACACACACCCCGAAGAAAATGACATTTAACTATGAATGTCCATTAGCACACAGAACCAAACTGAAGAATATAAATTGTCACTTTACCCTTCTAAGATAAAACCTCAGTAAATAAAAATGAAAGAAAAACCCTGAATGTTATCTGCAAATAAAGATCGAGCAGCATCCCTTATCAATTTAAATCAGCACAGCCCTGGTTAGTGCTCATTATATCCACTGAATATGTGTCCCTTAATTCAGAAATGCACAAAAGCCAAGAGCAGAAATGCACACCTCCTTCACTCACTGGCCTGTGCAATACTCTCAGCTTCAAAGTTGAGACACTTGAAGGACGTTGAATAGAAAACAGTACTTTAAAATAACATTTAAATTTTTATCAACCCAAAGCTATTCTTGTATCCCAGTCCCTTTCACTGCTTACTACAGGCTTACTGGGCCCAACAACTGCCTAGAGTAACTGGTAGAAGTACTTTAATAGATTTGCCTATGATCAATTGATCCTGAGTTTGGATTCTATAACAGTCTCAGCAATAACTATGTTAAAGCAAGTATAGTGCTCTTTTAAAATTACCATCCTACCTCATCTTTGTGAAGCTATTCTCAGAACTATGAGAATCATGTCTAGAAATACTAGTGCTTTGTTTTATTTGTTCGATTGCATTTTGCCCTCTTCCACTCCTGTTCTGCTTTATGCACGATCCTATTCAGATTAAGAAACAGGTTATCATATTTATTAAAAGAATTGCAGGTTCTACAAAATGTAATATTTAATAGAGATGCTAGGAAGTAAATATATTCAGAATGTGATGTATTAGTAATATGAACACAATATGAAAACATTTAATGAGATTCTCTATTTCCCTGAAAAGAAGTCTGAAACTACTGGTTCCTATAGTGCCAGGCTTACCTTCCAGAAGAGGATACCACTAATATACCATAAAAGATAAAAATTTAACTATCACCCAGCATGACACAAAGAAGCACATGAATACGATGAACCATTCATGTATTGGAAAAAAGGAAGTCTAGGACACAGATGAAAGCATACACACCACTTCTCCAGTTTCTGCTGAAGAATATCAGACATTACAAAAGCAGTAATTTTAAGGTCTCCTTCTCCTAAAAGTCTTTTACCATCTAGATGCAACAGTGACAGACTTTAGCAGTCATATCATAATCCTACTAGTAAGAAAAATTTGCAGGTAAAACTACATTACAGGCAAACAATGCAACAACATTACATAATACTTTGATTATTACTTCCTATTGTATTTCCCTTACATGACTGTAAAAATAGTAGTAAAGATTTCCCTTTTTGCTGTGAAACCCACAACATCTGCAATAAGTGTTCTTTTCCAATTCTACTACAGTAAATATAGAACAATAAAATAATAATATCTAAAAAACTTTGGTTTATTATTATTTTGCACTTATGGGATCTAGGTTGCTTCTAAAATCAACCCAGATTTGCCTACACACTATTGTTTATAAACATGTAATGGCTATGGTAACTCTCCAAATCTCATTATACTACAATATTCCCCCACATAATTTCTAAAACTCAGGCAAC